GATAAGTATTTAACTGGATGATGGGTTCTAACTAGTACCCTTCAGGAAGGAAGGGCCTGGGGCTGTCACCCATTACTCTGGGGTCCATTCAGTCAACATATACAAAGGGACTTCAATAGTTTGAGGAAAAACATAGTTAAAAGATAAAAATAGAAGCTTTATTTCTCAACATAAACTCCACCAAGGTCAAGGAACTTTTGTAAGAGAGGATACTAGACATTTAGTTCACTCACTCCTAAAGAACTAAAGGGCCTCAGAATTTAACTGTATCAAAGCAATCTGTTTTTTTGTTTTTTGTTTTTTTTAGATTATTCTAAAACAACAGTGTGGGTGCGACTTGTTAGTTGCCACTGAGTAGACACTGATTCTTGGCAAGCCCATGTGTGCAGTAGAACTGCTCCACAGGTTTTTTTTAATGTTTTATTGTGAATTATATGATAGTTTACATGAGAGAACTTTAGTTTTACATTCATTCCATCATAATCATCTCATTGCCATGGTTCCAATCCCCTCCATGCATCATCCACCAACCAAAGGGTATATCCTAGATACCCGCCCCCTACACTTCCCCCTCCCCCCCCCAATTTTTCGGCCCACAGACCCTTTTCCTCTCTGGATCCAAAGTCCCCAGCCGCTTCATCACTCCACGTTGTCTTCTCTGTCTCCATCTCAGGCATCTCTGTTTCTCTGGGTAGGGTCCCACTCTTGGTCTTCTACGTTGATGGTCCCAGAGACCTCCGCTCCTAGACTGGAGAATTAATCACTCCCTTCCTTGTTACAAAACGTCTACCTTTGCATTTCCAACCCTCATAATCCGTCCTGATAGCATTATTCACTACAGTCTCACGAGTTACCCATCTGTATTTCCTTTCATCAGCTCCGCCCAGACAGATTGACTAGTACCCACTGGAGATTCTGCCTTCTTCCATGCTCCCTAGCACTAGGTTCCCTCTTGAAAGCTTGTAAGCCAGTCACTTCTTGCCTTTGTAGTCCCCCCCCCCCATTTTGAGTATCCAATGACCAAGTTGCCCATCTCCGTCCACTCTGTGTGTGGAGGGGATGGGAATGTTTCTTGCTATAAGGATTTGTTCCATCTTTTGAGTTGCTGTTCCATAGGTATAGGTCAAGTTCATCAGATTGTATCAGCTCACTTTGTTTTTCTTCTCCCCTTTTCTTTCTTCTCCTGTTTGAGCTCTGATCGTCCAGTCATCCGGTCCAGGTCACATGGGTATCATCTGCAAGTGTGGGTGCTCCTGTGCATATGTCCTCTCTTCCCATTAGCCGGTAGCTCCACTCTCCTCTCGAGTCCTCCGTGGCCATGCCACTGACTCTGGGCCCAAAAGTCCCCAGGTCTCCTCACACTGCTTGCCAACCAAGTCCCCAACTGGGTCCACAGAAGTTCACTGAACATCGTGGGGCTTAGCATGCCACTTCATTGCTGCTTTTACCCCACTTCCCCCCATCGGTAATGTGTGTGGTCACCAATCAGAGCGTGCATTTCCATTGAGTCTTAGTCTTGGAAGGGGGTTTGCGTTGAGAGGACCTGGCCACTCCACAGGGTTTTTATATAACTTTTTGGAGTCAGATCTTCTGACTGTCTTCTGAGTTGCCTCTGAGTATGTTCCAACAAGCCAACCTTTTGGTTAATAGTCAAGCGCTTCTCCGTTTGTGCTACCCAGGTACTCTGTTGGGTGGGGCTATTACTGTCATTTTGTGATAATAAAAATATTGGGAACATAAATAACTAGCTCAAAGCCATAAAGCAAGTGTCAAGACTGGGATTTGCTATTTGGTGTATATGTGTTCAGGCTCATTGCACTACAGGGTCACCCTGACTCTTCTGTCTGCCATGCTTTTGTTCAGTCACAATCTATTCTCTAGAGAATCACCTGGTGCTGATGGGCAAGGACATGTTCAGTATGGCCAGATGCAGCACCACCTACTCTGCAAACTTGATTCAATCCTCTTTCCGCAAACTACCCCTTTCCCTAACTAACTCATTTCTCATTGAGACATTCTAGCAGCAGGAAACCATCAAGCTCAAGAGAAATGAAACCCTGTGGTTTCCCCAACCCCATGCTCTGTCATTACACCTACTAGAAGTCAGCGGCAGTGTGTGAGAAGAGAAGCAGAGTGACAGGGCTCTCCAGGGATGTGGCAGTGCCAGGTACACAAAGAGTTGTGGCCAGCCCTGATGCAGGAGGCGGAGGCGGCATTGCACTCCTAACAGACAGGCTTCTCTCTGCTTCTGAAAGCACCCATGGCCTTCACACGCTCAGTGGCCCTGACCAAATTGTTCTCCTCCCACTCCTCAGCCTCAGGGCGGACAGGCTGATTAGCAGCCCCCGCCTGCCTTTGTTCCAGTGTTTTTGGAGCTGGGGGTAGAGAGTAGGGGGCAGTGATTTCTTTGCTGGCTCTGCCATCTTCTCTGCATGGCTTCTCCTCAGGAATGTTCTTTGAAATGGTGTATAGCCTCCTGTTTCATTCTTCCAGTGACTGGTGCATTTTATCCAAGGCCCCTCTCAGGTGTACCTCAGGGGCATGGGCTCTGTGGATTCCTTCTCTGTGCCAGTGGAGAAGGTGTTGGTTGATGTGCAGGATTTGTTGAACGGATGACAATGTGAATACATTGGTCAGCCTGGCTCAATCAGTCACTTTTATGCAACTAACACTCACAAAAGGATGCAGGAGCAGGGAAAAGGGTTTTCAGACATTCTGGGAAAAGGAAACTAACTAGTTAGTCAGAACTAACTCCAAAGCTCTTTACAAAAGCAATAAGAAAGTCTCAGGTACTTTGCAAAATTTCTCTCATTTAATATGTTGTTATGTTGTTGTTAAGTGCCGTCGAGTCGGTTCGGACCTATAGCGACCCTGTACAGGGTTTCCGAGGGTCATTTAATATAACCAGGCACAAACATTAAAGTTTTTTGTTTTGTTTTGTTATCTTCAGAGATGAGCAAATTGAGGGTCAGAGAGTTGAAATATTCAAGGCCACACTGCTTTGTTGGTAGCACAGAAAGGATTCTAACCTAAGACTGACTCCAAGATCGTGGCTCTTGAACTTGACCCTGCCAGTAGGAAGTAAGTTTCTTGAGGGAAGAGACAGTGCTTTCTAATCTTTATATTTTCTACAGTGCCCAGCAAAATGCTTGAGTGCCCAAGAAATGTTACATGACTTAAATTTGAAAGCGGGAAGAAGTCTCGCATTAATTTATTCACCTCACAAATATTTATTGAGTGTCTGCTATGAGTCAGATACTGTTCTGGGCATTAGGAATACAGCAGTGAATAAAAATATTCTACTTGGGGAGACAGACAATTAAATAAGTAAATTATAGAGTGCAACAGATGGTGAGAACTACTAAGGAGGAAAATAAGGAAGAGCTGAGGTATCAGAAAAGTGAGTTTAATATTTTAGATATGTTGTTCTTGTTAAGTGTCATTATCTTGATTCCAACTCATAGTGACCCTGTATAGGGTTTCCAAGGAACGGTTGGTGGGTTTGAACCACTGACCTCGTGGATTAAATTGACTCTGCGGTACAGAGCATTACATTAACTGAGGAGGTGATGTTTGAGCAAAGACTCAAAGGAGGTGTGGTTGTCTGGGGAAAGAACTTTTCAGGAAGAGGGAACAGCAAGTACAAAAGTACTTGAAGTTAGAGCAGAAATAGCTTGAGAGCATCCAGGAAGCTAATATGGCTAGAAAGCCACAAGGAGGAGGAGAGTAGCAAAAGATTCGGTCAGAAAGCAGGATGGTGGTGCAGATTATAATGACCTTGACTTTTACTGTGTGTGGGGGGTGCCATGTGAGATTACGGAGCAGACTACTGATATGATTTTAAGTTTTAATAGCTTGTTAGGTACATGTGTGAAGAAGAGACTTTAGATGATAAGAGCAGATACAGGAAGGCCAGTTAGGACACAACAGCAGTAATCAGGGCAAACTATGGTGATGTCTCACGTCAGTGAAGAAGCAGTGCAAACGGTGAGAAGTGTCTAGATTTTGGATATATTCTGAAGGTAGAAATGATAATGTTGCTGATGAATTAGACATGAGATATGAGACAAAGAGAACAGTCAATAATGGCCCCAAAATTTTAGGTAGAGTGACTTGAAGAATGGAAGGATCATCTATTGAAACTGGAAGACTGCTGGAAAATAGGCTTTGCAGGACAAAAGTGAAGAGCTCAGTTTAGCTAAATTAAGCTTGAGATGCCTGTTTTGAAGTGGAACTATTAAGTAGAGATGTTAAGAAAAGAACTAAAGTGTAGTATTCTGAGAGCCAAATAAAGAAACTGTTTCAAGGAGGAGGATTTAACCATTTGCGACCAGTGCTGATGAGTGAAACTGTCAGTGGGTTTAGCCACATGGAGATCCTTGGTTATCTTGATAGTTTGTTTTAGTAGAGGAATTGGGGAAGGAGAGAAATTGGAGTTAGTGAATATAAACAAATCTTTTGTACAGTATTGCTGTAAAGGACAGGAGAGAATCAGGATAGACTTTTAAAAAATATATAAAAGAAATAACAGTATGTTTATCCATTGATGGGGGGAAATTACCATGTAGATTCAAGCTGATGTAAGAGAGAGGGAATGGGAATAAATTGCTCAAGAAATATCCTTAGTTGCCAGAGGAAAGTACCAGTAGGTGGGCAGGTTAGGTGAAGGATCTGTGGAAGATCTCTTCTAATTGCTTCTATTCTCCCAGTGAAGTAGAAAACAAAGTTGTTAACTGAGAGTGAGGGTTTGGGAGAAGAGTGAGAGATTTGAGGAATGAGGAGAAGGTATGATATGGTTTTCTAGGAGAGTGGGAAAGTATGGACTTAGGAAATGTATAATGTGAGGCAGCACTAATGGCTCACTTGAGAACAGGAGAGTATCTTGAGAAGGATGTTCTTAAGGGTGAGCTAAGACTCCAAGAGGAGCATACATTGTAGAAAGTCTGGAACACAGGCTTTTATTTTTCTTATTTAAAGGCTTGAAATGAAAATGTTCTTACCTCATGTGGGTCATATTTTCCAAGGCTCCCTCCCTCATTAAATTCAGTCAAGACATCCTTTATCTTCTTGGAGGAATCTGGAGAGACACAATACACACATGAAACACTGATGAACAGTAATGGGAGATGGTCGAGTCAACTCTCTCTCCTGTCCTGCCACAGTTGTGATGGAGCAGCCTCTTGTTCCCAGTATGGGGAAATGCCACTGTTATCTGCCCTTCAGCCCTCTCAGTTCCTTTGTCAGAGTCTATTCTCTCTGTTGCTGCCAGAACCATCTTGCTAAAACAAAATATGATCAGATCACGGCCCTGATCAGACTCTTTAGTGGTTCTCAGTTTTCCCAGGATAAAGTCTAAAGTACACACACAAGCCCTTGGTGATCTGGCCTAGTTGATTCCTTATTTCTTACCTCCACCTCTCACTCACTTTACTTTTCAGGCATACCAACTACTTTTGTGGAATTCCCTGAGTACAATGTGTAACCTTTTACAGGGTTTCCTCTGTGTCTTGCAAACATCACTCAATCCTCAACACAAAGCTCAAATGTCAACTCCTTTGAAAAGTCTTCCTTGACTCCACTGGGCAGAGTTAATCATTGTTACTTCCTTCCCTGGCTCCTAAAAGACTTGTATATAACTCTATAACAGCACTTGATATAGTCTAATAATTACTCATCAGGTGGGTGCCTATATTTCTTGACTTCTGTTACAGTTCGAATATGCGTTCATTGAGAGCTATAACTGGCCAGTAAGTCTTTGTATATAATACCAAGATCTGACATGTAAACAGTGTTCAGTAAAACAATATATTAAATGAGTGCATAAACATCTGAGCAGAAATTAAAACACATTTAAGAATTCATTAGTTATATAGAGATGGCTGGGCATCATGCCTTATTATGCTCTGTCCTTGGTCCTGAAACATTGTTGTACATGAGTCAGGGCAATTCCTTTTAATCCTGGAATCCTGACAGCTCTTGATTTTTCTTAATTATTTTCTGTCTTGATGGAAAATTGAGATATTCATACTGACACACAAAAAACCATAATCTTGACTGATGTCTCATAATTAATATGGCTGATTTCATGGGCCTATGACAGTTCCATTATATTCTGACAGCCAGAAGTTTTTCCACTGGAAATTCAGGGCCCTTGCCCCCATGTTGTCCCTGGGATGTTACCCTTAGGTTCTACTTACATTGGAAGAATACACAAAAATACTCAGAAGACTTATGAAGCACAGTGCTTTAGAAAATTCAACTTTCTAACTCAGAAATCACCACTGTAGACAATGGTGGCTTCTTTTTGGAGTTTTATAAGGGAATTGAGAATCAAGAAAAGGGAGTCAGTAATTTTCATTAAGTACAAATTCTGAGTGTATACTGTGCAGTTATTACCACTCTAGACATCAAAGAGAACTAGGGACCAGTGATCTGTACTCTCCCAGTCTGGGCAGTACTGTGGATAATTAAGAACTTCCCAACTCCGTTACTGTTGCTATTTAATCCTCTGAGTAAAGGGCAATGTCATTAAAAGCTGACTCAGTGTTCTCTGGTGGTCAAACTCTTTGTAGAAACATAGGCTCTCTTTGGTCTAAGTAAAATGGTATGTTCACGGGCTATGCTGTTCTTCATGCTTTTGCTGATTTGGATTCTTCAAGGAAAAGTTATAATAATTTTAAGACAGTGACACATTGAAATGCCACAGGAAAATGCTGCTGTGGCCTAAAAATGGAGATTTCTTTCTGAAATTCAAAATTGACATTGAAATACTAATAGCTTAGTGAGATCTAGGCAGCAGAAGCCATCAATTTAGGCTGCTTACACCCAATTCAGAAAATACCATGGAGAGTAGGGCACTGTGAGGTACTGTTAATGAATGAGCCAGGGAGAGGATCTGAATAATTGTGATAATATAGATAACACTTCTCGTGGAACTTTACTGCATAGTTTCCTTTACTCCCGCCTACCAAGCCATCCAAATAATACAGTGTTTTCTGCAGTCTTCAGATAAAGCTAAAATTCAGAAAAATTAAGTGTCAAGGTTTGAAACCAGATGTAGTCTGGCTCAAAAGTCTATATTTCTTTTCCTTAATAGCTACTTACTACTTACTGTGACTCCCTGAACACTTGCCAATGCAAGGAAAAGTATAATTAATGCTGAGGCAATGATACGAAGCTCTATATAGAGTGATGAAGAGACAAAATTAAGTTAGAGAGGACTGGGGTGGGGGTCTGGGATGCTCTATGAGGGAGGTAGGACATTAGTTTGAAATCATTAAATGTTATTTAAATAGTGCAATAAAATAATTAGGATTCTATTTTCTAAAGGTCACTCTGGCAAGAGAATGGAAGGGTTTAGAATTAGGTCAGCATTCAGTTAATGTCACACATGGAGACATGGGAATATGGAGACATGGTTCCTTCTAGTGTGGCTTCTGCAAAAGGAGTACAGAGGTGGCATTTTGACTGAGAATATAGGAGGTCGTTTCACTTTCTATATTACTATCACATTTTGATGACTCCAAAATTCAGTTTTACTTTGTCTTATAGGGTGGCTATGAGTTGGAATCAATTTCATAGCAACAGGTTTGTTTGTTTGTTTTAATTTTATTTATATGCTAGATATTATCCTCAGGAGCTCTGGTAGAGTAGTGGTTATGAGTCGGGCTGCTAATTTCATGGTTAGCTGTTCAAAACTACTAGTGGTTCTATGGGAGAAAGATTACACTTTCTGCTCCAGTAAAGATTTACAACCTCGGAAACCCTATACAGTTGCTGTGAGTCGGAATCGACTCATAGCACATAACCACCACCATCAGGTATTAGCCTAGTCACCTTGTGTATGTTACTTAAATCACTATGCTCTTGTTGTTATTGTTAAGGGCCGTTGAGTCAGTACCGACTCATAGCAACCCTGTATAGGTTTTCCTAGAAGTGGCTGGTTAGCTTGAACTGCCAATCTTGAGGTTCAAACCACTTTGCAGGCCAGCGCATTAACCTGCAGCACCGCACCATAAACAGAGCATATATACAGAGAGATCACTATGTTCTATTTACCCCTATTTTATAGAAGAAAAAGCTGAAGCTTATAGAATATAAGTGATTCTGTCACGTGCATATAGCAAGTGAGCAGGTCACTCATATTTTTAACAAATCTACATGTCAGTCAGAAGATAAGGCAGATTACAATGGCTTTGAATCCTGTCTGCACGTGAAATCGCTCAGGGAGCACTATAAACCTTGAAATCCATGATTCAGTGCAGACAGATTAAGTCAGCATCTCTTGGGGGACCCAGAAATCAGTGTATCTGAAGGCTTCCTAGGGATTCAATGTGCAGCCAAGGTTGAGAATAACCATTCTGTGATTCTATTGTTATAAATGAGAGACTATCTTAAGAAGAAGTTGAACTTGTTGGATAATTATTGCAAAACAAAACAAAAAAACGCTTCTAACTTTGGTAAATGTAAAATTGTTGTGCATGGCAAACATTCTTCATTGTTTAAGTGAACAACACTAAAGGAATCTATCCAACAGGTCAACCTATTTAGTTGCTTGGCAAGGTGGTGTGCCATCAAGTATAGGGTTTTCCAGGCTGTAAATTCCAGGTAGAAAGCCTCATCTTTCTCCAATGGAATGACATAATCCACTACTCTGCCAGGGTTCCTTGCTTGGCAAAGTAGGGGTACATTTTGCAGTTGATCCCAGCCTAGTGGGGACATCAGCATGCAGATGTTTATAGGGTTCTTCTGTGTGATCAAGGCTGCCAGTGGTAACAACTGCCTTCAAAAGTGTTGAATCCAAAATCGTCTCTTTCATACTTTATGTGCTAAGAATCTGGGATCTTAATCAAACAGTGGTTCCTAGTGTTTGAGCAAATTCAAAGCTTTTTTAAGAAGAAAATGTACCTACTCATAGGCACCTTTGTGTGGAACAGGGATGCCCTCCATCTGAACAAACAGACAAATAGCTTCAACATTTAGAGCAGAGCATCAGCTGTGCTGTCTGTGGAACCAGAACCCAAAATTTAGTTTTAGTCAAGAACGCTGAGTATTTGAGCACTAGTTGGACTGTTTAACTTTACATGTGAACAGACATCAATCCTTACAAAAGCAAATCTGAGAACCCATGTATGAAAATGTTGCTTTAAAGTGCCTGATAACTCTCTATTCCTCTAAGTTGTCTAAAAGCTTCTCAAATTTCAATGTACATATGAGTTACCTGGGAGTCTGGTTAAAATACAAATTCTGGGTCAGGGTCTGAGAGTCTGTATTTCTAATCAGATTCTAGGTGATGCTGATTCTGCTAGTTCATGGACCTCACTTTTGATGAGCAGGAGCTAAACAATATTCAACTGTGGCTCACTGGCGAGTCTCATCTGTCACAATAGAGAAAGGACCATGATTCTGAGGGTAGAGGGACATATTCATGAAATGGGAAGGCCATAGTGATGCTTCACCTGGGGGAGGGAGGTGGAGACACAAAGAGAGGTGGAAAGGAGGGTGAAAGCTGGCCCATTTAAAAAAAAATCTTAATTTTTCTTCTTCTGATGAAGGCTATTATATATGAGTAAGGTTTCTATGGATTGTCATGGATTCCAGAACACGTCGAAACACACAAAAACAAGAGAAGGGTTTTCTGAGGGTCCTAGAGAGATAGAAGGTCATGTCATAATGGAGATGCAGGGTCAGGAGTCAGGAGCACTGCATCAAAAGAACTTGCCTCTTCATCCAGGAGAAGAAATAAGACCCCAAATGAGTGGGTGGAATGTGGCATGCACAAGATCTGTCAGCTCCATGAACACTGACACTTACTTGCCATTCATTCATATCCTTAGCATGTAGCCCACTGCCTGGCAGAAAACAGAAGCTTAATAAAGATTTGTTGAATAAAGGACTAGAAAAGAGATCCTGGTGCGGCACTGTAGGATAAGCACTGGACTGCTAACTAAATGATCGGCAATTCAAACCCAGCAGCTATTACTCGGAATACTGATAAAGGTCTCTATGAGTTGGAACTGACTTGACAACATTTGATAACAACAGAAAAGGGATTGGGATGGTCATGCTTGTTCCATA